ATTACATAATTTTTAATTTTGATTTTCTATTCATAAACTCTTATATGATTTTAATATTATAATATAATTTATTATATGATTACATAATTATTAATTTTTAACTTTATTTTTTAAAACTCTAAATAGATATAGCTCTACAAAAAAACAATAATATAATGAATATAGACTATTTATTCTTTATTGGAGTGAAATTAAATGATCAAATTAAATGTCATACTAATATACTTGGATCGATACTTTTGCTATTTTTTAAAGTTCCATGCTAAATTAAAATTAAATCAATATACTTATTATTTTGTATTTCATACCAAAATGTTATTTATTAATCATATTTAAAATTGTATTTCAGAAATCCCAGCCATTCTCAAATTTTAGGTATACATTTTGATGTGGCACTTAAAGGTGATTTGAAATATCTAAATATCAATACAACATATAATACTACTATTAAACAAAATTATCGACAAATGGAATCTGCGTTTTGGTCAGAATATTTACCTACTGTTATTGGTATTATTGTACCAACATATCCTCCTACCACTGAAGTAAGTTATAGTTATTTTAATCACCTAGTTCAATCAGTATCTACAGCTTGATGATAATTTATTCTATAAACTATAGTTTTGGTGGGAACCTAAAACTCCAATTCAAGTGGCATTGTGGGGTCTTTCCAGTCTTAATATGATTTTAATTGCCTTGACAGTTATACTTTGCATTTTGTGGTACAACGCTAGGAAGTAAGTTTAGAAAAAATGATTAGTTGGATTATAAGAAAATATTCAAAAACTTATTTCTGTAATTGTTGTAGAACTAAAGATCGATATTATAATGGTGATGTATTGGTTGTTAGAGAAGAACCAATGGCAATGAGCCGTCAAGGCATTGACAACCGTAGTGTAACCAGTAATATATATGAATACCATGATGCACCGATTAAAACATTACATGCTTCGCCTAAAAAGACTGCATCTGCTAGCACATTGAGAACAAATAGCGCTGCTTCTATGAGGGATCATCCAATGACCATAAGTGATAAACCTGTACCACAAACTCAAGTTTAAATTAAAAATTTCATTAATTAATTTTACATTTGAACTAAACATTATTAAACCTTGTTAAAATTATTTTGTTATGATTTTTGGTGATAAAAAGATTTGAATACATCTCTCTTTATGCAGAAAATATGTCTTTAGTTCCAATTATTGATTTAATGCTGCCACTATTATTCTTATGGAAACTAATTGATTTATCATAAAGTTTAGTTGCCATCAAATTATTTATACATTTTCAATTTAAAAGACTAATTAGTAATTAGTTATTTATTTAAATTTAATTTTGAAATTTATTGTTATCACCTATAACAAATATGAAAAAAAAGGATTTCTTGTATATTATTTGTTAATTTACAATATTAGTAGGGTAAAATTTAAATAACAATTTTTATTGTATACGTTTAATTGTTCACTATTTAATATTTGTCTGAATTGACATATCTGCAAAATTCCAGTGCCTTTCACATGCCATGTAGGTAAAATGAATCTATTATTAATGAATCATATTATTAAATTCCAATAAAATTCTTATCCTTTTGACTTTATGTTAAAACTTTTTCTTTAAAATATTTTTCAAAATTAAATTATACATTAGTATCATAGTTTAATTATGTTAATATTCAGTCATTGATTTTTTTTATCTATATAAAATTACTAAATAAATATTTTATTTTCTCTATCATGATCAAAATTTTAGTTATATAAATGTATACAGTATATGTGTAATGTATTAAATATATTTTATATTATATGTATAAGAATTTATTTAGTAAATTATCCGTCCAGAAAAATGTGCTTAGTACAATTAAGTCCGTCCATTAAGTTTAAAATGAATTATATATTGATTATTTTCTTATATAATTTACTGTTTAGTAGTTTAATATTTGTCATCTTGTATTCATTATTGTTGATTTAAAATTTTATGAAGTTCATGAATTTTTAAGTAGGTAATCATTAATTTTAATATTATCTAAAATTGCAAATATATCCTCATTATTGAATCAAATTTAAAATTTTTATTTACTTTGTTAATGTTTGGATTTTTTTTTTTTTTATTATCATTTATTTTATTAACTTGAGAGTATTAAATGTATTAAACTTGTGATTTAATTTTTTTTATATATTTTTTCATATTCAGTCATAATTTTAAAGACTGTATATATCTGACAATTAATTTTTAATTCAAAATGGGCCATTTTTTATAAATATAATAGTATTTCAGACAGATTTTATTTATTTATTTATTTTTATATTTAAACTATTTATTTATTTATAAATTAATTTACAAGTTAATTTAATCATTCAATAATTTTTAATATTTATTTAATTTTTTATTATTTTATTAACTTATATTGTTTGATTTTAACATATCTATCATGAGTTAAGAGAGTTAGTATTACAAGGTACAAGAAAAAAATTCTTAGTATAATGTAGGTGTATCTAAGATATATTATTTTAAAATTTCTGCTGTTAAAAATTTTAGTTAAAAAACAATATAAATTTAAATTTAAATCAAACAATATTTTTATCAATGTTAGTATTTAAAATTTATTTTTTATAGTAAATATACATTTAAATTATAGTCAATGTAATAAACTGAACAAAGAATTACATCAAGGAGATTTACGTGTAATTATTTAATTCATTTTAATGTATGTATGTCATTCAAATTTTTAAATAAAAATGTATTTATTAATTAATTAATAATAATAATAATTTTAATTTATATTTGTTTTAAGTATCTACTATATATTATTTTTATGTTACCAAATTTATTGTTGATTAAATATAATATGTACAATAAATTGAAATTTTTTAAGATATTTTATGTGTGAAATTATATATATTATATTGCATATAATTATATGCAATTATGTCACTTAGGCACAGAGATTTCTTTTTTTTTTTTTTTAAGAAATAAAATACAAAATAAACATTTTTAATATATAAAAATAATTACACTTTTGTTTTCAAATCTAAAAGTGATAGTTGTATAGTAAATTGTTATCAGTTCTAAGTATTATACATAATTTTTATAATTTTAAATATTTTCTTATTATATTATAAGTATATTGATATTTAATAGATAATGTAATTTTTACTTAGAAAAATTAATTTGTACATCATGTTTTCAAAATCATATACTTTAATGTAAATTGTTATTATTTATTTTTGAAAATTAATATTCAGAATTATAAAGTAATTTATAAATTATTAGCCACTGTACTGAGTTCACAAAAAAAGTTAATTATTTTTTGAAATATGATAATTTGTGGTTTAATTTTTAATAAAAAAGTAGACGTAAGTATTGAATTTTTATTATAAAACATTGACACAAACAAATGATCTGATGTTTTTGTATAATACATAAATGTATTAAATTTATTAATTTTATTGTAATTAGTAATAATTATTTTATTTACTTTGTTTAAAAATTTAAATATAATTTTTGTATTTGTTGGTAATAAAATAATGTAATCTAATTGGATTTATCCAAGGTTTTTAGAGTAATTAAAAAATAATTTTAATTATGTGTTCAATAAATAATACATTTTAGTATTAATAAAATAATATTGTAAAAACATTAAAACAATTGTTGTTTTATTTTCAATTTTTAATTTTGTTAATTTTTTTATGAACAATTTAGTTTTTATATTATTATAAAATATTATTTAATTAAGTTATAATATTTTTGTCATGTAATTGGATGTATACATGTTCATTAAATGTTTAAATTTGATATTGTGTATGGTTTAATTTTTCAAAAGCCAAGACTTTAGTGAAATTTATGGTAATACTTAATGTTATAGAAAATTAATAAGATAAAAAAATGAAAAAAAACAGTAAATCAAAGAGAGAAAGAAAACTAGAGAATGAGAAATTGATAGAATAAGAGAAAATAAAATCAGATCAATTTTTAGTTTATTTTATTCTCAAATATGAAATTATTTATTTATTCTTGTTTAAATTGTAATTGTTTCATTTCGTGAAAATAGAAGGTATTATGAATAGCGAAAAAAAAAATAATTATAAATATATTAAATATATATATATTCTATAACAGCCTATTATAATTCTTTGAGTTAGGTTATTTTATTTCAATTCATAGAAAGAATTTGTAAAATATTTTGTAATATTGTGAAATATTATGATTTGATGAAATAAATATCTTTGATTTAAAATGTGATTTTAATTAGGAATCAAAGTTAATAATGGCTACTGGTTGTAGCTACAAACTTTTTATAAAAATTAATTATATTTAATACTTAATAAACAAGATAGATGTATTATGTAATATTAATTGTAAATTGTAATATATTAATAAACATACAAAAAAAAAAAAAAAATAATAATAATAATAATAAAATTACAAATTTACTTAAACTTACCTATTATATGCATTATACTAATACAGTTTACAACACAAAATAATAAAAACATAAAAAGATTTGACTTTTATCTTTCTGAACTGAAAAATGGACAAACAAAAGTCATTACTATAGTTTTATTAGTCTAAATAACTGACTTAAATTAACTCATTTATAATTAAGGTTACGGTTACGGTTACGGTTTTTCATTTTTGGAAATAAAGATTCCGGTTTCAGTTCCGGTTCCTAAATTTTAAAGGTTAACCGGTTCTAGTACCTGTTATTTTCGATTACGGTTCTGGTCCTTGGTTAAAATTAGGGATGGGCAAAATTGTTTGAACATCGATATTCGATGTATCGATACACCGATTTTTAAAATATCAATGTGTTCGATGTATCGGCGAAAAACCATCGATGTTTAAGAACATCGAAGTTTAAAAACATCGAGACAATTTTTTTCCGTCTAGAGCTGCCATTTATTGCACACTTTATTTTCTGTACAGTGTACTATTTTCTTGATTAAATAATACATTTAAGAGTTAAAATACTATTGCTTAATTTATATTTTTTAAAAACATATTAAATATTTATAATCAGGGATCGTATGAACATGCATTTGCATGTTTTCTTTGCTACATCGGAAAATATGCTGAGATAAAAATTCGTTTCATAACAATGGTGATAAAAATCTAAAGTTTAATCAAGCATGCTTTTGTATATTTTGTGTGTATTGGCATATTTGGCATATAGTTGATTTTTTTTTGAGTTATTATATATTATATTATATATTTTGAGTTAGAGCATATTAATTTGCATGTTTTGTGTGTATTGGAATATTTGGCATATAGTTGATTTTTTTTGAGTTATTATATATTATATTATATATTTTGAGTTTGCGCATATTATTTTATGTAAATTCAGCGAAATCGTTTTTTGTGGAAGTCAAAAAAAAATTAGATCAATAAATTTTTGAATTCATTCTTATTTACTTTTCCGAACTTGTTTATAAAATCTTAGTATTTTATAAATATTTTTATTTTTTAATGACATTAAATTTTATAAGTTAAAAGCAGTACTACAAAAACAATGTTATTGCGCATTACTACCACTCTTCTCTTATCGACGTGTCCATTGCAATCTACCTATTTTTGTCGCAACGCGTGTTCATTAATTATAATTTTAATACAATGTAACCGATGAAAAAATATAACTTTTAAACATATAAATGGATAATTCTTATTATTTTAAAAAACCTTAAATGTTTTTTTTTTGGGCATAGCTAAGGATTTTCAATGCATATTTCATCAAAAGTTAGTGCATTATTGCAAGCTTATGTATGCGTTTTTTTTAGTGCATGAACGTACGAGCCCTGATTATAAGTATAAAGTGTATACTGTATAACGATTTTTGTATACTGCATATTAAAATATTACAAACAAAAAAAAAATTCGAACTTTTTGAACATAAACATCAATATTTAAGTTCGAACATTTAGAACATTTCGATGTTTAATCGATTAATTAAAACATATTAGCGATATTGAAACATTGATATATCGACCTAAAACATCGATGTTTTTTGTCCATCCTTATAGGGATATAACTATAGTTAAAATAAATATTTTTTTTTTGTGCATGCTTTTCATGATTTGCAATGAAAAAATATAACTCTCAGAATAATAAATAAATAAATAAATAAATAACAATTCTACATGTACTCACGTATTAATTTGATAAATTACTTTGCCAAAAACTTGAAACGGAAGAAACAGATATATTATATTATAAAGAACATAATATAAGATCGTATATCTTCAAGTATAGTGAGGCCCGACGAGAGGGTGGTGGCAGCTGGAGCTGTAGCCCAGGAGTTCGGGATTGAAAAACGGCCCGGGGCCTGACCAAGTTCACTACGTCTCGATCATGGTGTAACGTTTTCAAGAAAGACCCATAGGCTGTAAATAATCATTATTATTTAGTCTGTGAAATACCCGTGACTACGATTACATCCTTTTGGTATATACATTTTAAAAGACGACACTGGAAGTCAGTGGCAAGTTTAATACCTCAAGTGAGAAAGGCCTGGATTAATTTGTCTTAATTTCTTTCCATGGCGCTGAAATAATTGAGTATGAATGTGTATGAGGAATATATTTTTCATGCTAGACATATTTGAACAATGACACATACTATCACGCCGTGATCAAAATGTTATACGAATCTAAAGGAAGTAAAGTTGTGAAATTATTAATAAAATAGAAAATCCGTGGGAAATTGAATTCATCCAAACTTGAAAAGTTATTTAATAGATATCGAATTATAGTTCTCGGTTTTATTAATTAAGGAGAATTCAAATTATTTTGAAGTAAATCTCTTACGCTTAGTTGACCTTTATTCGTGGAAAAAAGTACTACCGCATTTTCAAGTATTGTTATGAATTTATCTGGAAGATGTTATTATTTAAAAACAGGTTTATGTGAGGGTGATGCGACCGCTTCGATGTCATAGGAATAATTTTTATTGTCTAAGCTTTTTTAAACATATCCCTTTTCTGTTGCCAGCTGATTTAGTGTTGAGAATATTTCACGTTGACTTTGTCTATTGTAGTAACGATACAGTTTCGACAAAAATATCATTTGTTACTCTCGCCCCATTGGTCATACGCTTCATCGCCAAACGAAAGCGGACGGATAAGTCATTGGAAAATTAGCGGAGGAACGTGGTCGGAATAGCGACAGTCGCATTACCCGTGATAGGGTGTTCGGACGTTAAGTACGCCTTCCGTGTGAAATACAATACAATCAAATTCCTCTATACACTATGCCTTAGACCAAGGTGAAAATATTATCATCACCAATCCGTCACACACCCGCTACTTAATGCGAAATGATTGCGCATTATGATGTTTATCAGAGCTGTTGGGAATGCTCGGTATTGCACGTGACAAATACATATTGTTTCAGCTATACGATGAAAACCATGTACTAGACAAGTTAAATGTATTATTCTTGGATAAAATGTGTCCAACACTTTTCCCGCCTTACACATATACGGCGCGGCGTCCGTTAAAAGTAAAAGTACATTATTGTGTATTATACCATTCGGCCACAAAACTCCCATTGCATTATTAAATAATTGACGTACCTATAGTTTTGTGGTTGCATTTATCTAATTCTTCACAGCACAATAAAAATGGTTTAGATGGTTCAGTGCTCAATTTTCCTACAATAACATTTGCGATACATCGACCGTCGGCATCTGTTGTTTTATCTACTCCAACCCAAATAGGGCCATCTCCAATGACATTTTGAATTTTCGAAATAGTTTCTTCATACACCCCACTAACATAATTTTTTCTAAGTGTACTCTCGTCGGGAATTTTATGACCAGTATATTTTTCCATAAAATTTTTAAATGCAACATTTTTCAATTTAAAAAGAGGAATGTCTGAACGTATTAGTGCACGACACAAATCATCATTAAAAACTGACTTACTATTGGTAGATGCGGATGATGTAGAAATAAAATTTTGTTGAAATATAAGCTTTCTGTCTTTATTGCCTCTATGTTTACTGGTATTGATGTGCTGAATAACTTGACCACGTTGGTCAATAGATACTGATTTATCACAAGACTGACAGTATAAAACTTGTCCATCAATCCTAAAAGTTTCATTCGGAAATTCTTCCAAATAAATACTAACTTTTGACCTTTTTGTGCGAGCTACTTTGGGCATATTTAAATAGCTAACAATATTATATTATACAAACTACACACACGGACACAATACAAAAATAACGACGTGATCGAATAACGCTCATACGAATACTGATCGAAAAGTGAACGCATATACTCATATACTGAAATTACTACCTACTACTTAGATAACTAGATAAGATATCGAATCGTCATTTGATGTCAAAGGTGTACAGTACAGAAACCTAATCGTATCGCAAAATACTAAAATAAAAATGGAAATTCTTCAATAATACAGAATACGTATATTTATTTATAAAATAATTAAAATATACACGGAAATTCTACGATATTACATAATTTATGTATTTATTTGTAAAAAAATTTAATTATTCTAAAATATTTAAAAATATTTAAAATAAAATTAGCATCAGATTACTTGAAATTAAATGAAACGTATACATATATCGAAAACTTTCCGATGCTATTATTACATAAAAATATTTATTTAAATTAAAATCTGTTCCCTACATATATATTATTAAACGTAAGTTTACGAGTTACCGTGCTCAATTTAAATTTTGGCGGGAAAAAGTTTACCAAACTTCGACGGAAAATTGTCACATGATGCTTCGGTCACCCTTACGTTTTCGTGTCGAGTACTATGTATAGTTGAACAACACATGAATTTCACCTTTTATTTTTTATGGTCAATTTATATACAGTGTTGAAACCAGATAAATAATTTTTTTATCTAGATAAAGGTAATGATAGTATACCAAAAATCTATCTAAATAAAGATAAAAATAAGTTCAACTTAAATTATATTTGTAAAAGATAAAAGATAATTACAATTTATCTCGTTTAAGCTTTCCCAAGGTAAGTCCAATCGTGCTGAAAAAACACAAGCTATAGAAAATATGTGACTTTCGCTTTCTGCTATTTATCATCGAAAAAAAATATATTCTTTTTAAAATACACTAAATAACATACTTGTATTTGTAATATTTAAAACGCGGTTTTTTTTAATCAAATTTAATAATTGTAGTTGAAATCAATATTAAAAATAGAAATATAGGTATATTGATTGCATCAAGGGAAAAATTGTGATAACTCAGATTATGTTCTATAAATTGTTAGGTATCATAAATGTAATTAAATACGTGAATATATTGTATGTATTGTTCTTCTTCAACTGTTATTGAGAAATATTTATTTAAATTTTAATTATCCTTATTACTTATTTTTTTTAACAGTCGATATTATTTTAAATTTAATATTTTTCTATAAATAATTATCTAGATAAGTCTCAAAATTGTTCATTTGAATACAATATAAATACAAGTAGAACGCAATTAGACACATTTAACTTTTGTTATTTACTGTGGATTATTTATTGGGACAAAAAAGATTTTAATTCTTAGTCAATATACATATTATCCACCTACGACTGCACACGTCAACAAAGTATACTTAATTTATAAACTAATGTCATAGACTGAGTAGAAAGTAAATCGGCTAAAGTCATCATGTTTGATGTGAAATCCGAAACCTTTGTTTAAAATTTAACGAGTTTTCAATTTCAACAATAAACAACTTACGTTTTGACTGTATTCAGTATACTTGGTTGTCTGTTGCACGTATCTTTTCGAAAGTAAAATATTTTGTTTGAATTTATATTTGCGTGCGGTATAGTTAGTGCGGTCTACTGAGTGAAAATAATTACTTTTTTGAATAAAGAAGTTTATGCTCAGAAAATAATCAAATGATATAATATAGTGTAGTAAGTATAATGTACAATATAGCCGTATACAATATATAATATAGTATACATTGTATATGGCCTGAAGGAACCTTTTCAATTGAAAGTAACGTCACAGCACGTTGAGCCATCTAATTTTTATAAACGTAAATGTGATATTATAATATATTACGGTTGTCATTGATTGGCCGTTGAAATAATAAGTAATGTATTATATTATTTTATAAAGCTTGAGAACTTTCATCATAAATGTGTTCTGATAAGTAATCTTCCATGATTTATAATGACAATAATTATTAACGTAATGATATGCGATGTTAATGAATTTCATAAAATATAAAACAATAAACTAATTTATTATTATATTTTTGCATATGACAGACAAATTAGTAATACAAATGTATTAAGTATTCTATGAGTATATATATATATATATATATATATATATATGTATTTGTGCTTAATATATTTTGTGTTATTTAATACATCAAACATGTATTAAATAAATATATAAGTGTTTTGTCGAGTGAATTTTTTTTTAAAGGGTCCTCCTAATATATTTACAACTCGACCCCCTGAGACTTAGATCCAGCACTACTCACGTCTAACTAACCGTTCTAACAATTTAACAGACTCTCTAGTAGATTAATATAAAATTATTATTTACATACCATATCTTGATTTATTTATCACCCATCTTCAAGATCGATTTCTCAAACATCGCAATATTTTATCTAACTTCTCGTGTATTTTTCCTATTAAAACGAAATCTTTAAACAAAGTTTCTTGTACAAAGTTTGGCCGCGAGTTCGCGAACCATAATTTAAAGTCAGTCACATAATGCTCCACAAGATCTTCTAGAATCCGATGGTCAGGAATTTGTGTGACGTTATAAATGTACTAATAATACAATGTAATACCTATATTTACAAAATAATAATAAAAATAAATACATTTATTTATTTATACATACTATATACTAATCTATATACTATCTATTTTACACATTTTTTTTTTTTTTTTGAACTCCTTTCCCCATTATGAAATTCTGCGCATGGGTCTGATATAGAATGACCGACGATGGTTTAGAAAGAATTTAATGACTGAACTGTGTAGTTTTTCGTGAACAATGGCGAATAGTTGTGAAGAGAAAAATAATATTTATAGATCATAAATATACGAGTGTGCAGATCAATACATGTAGTAGTGGTGATCATACACTAGAGATATAACTGAGCATTGAAGAGCACAACGATAAAGAGCACATACGAAATAGGTTAACACATGTGGAGAGCACTTGAACACGTGGTAACAACACACCCACACACACACACACACACACACACATACACACACACACGGCGTGAGCGTACGCTTAATGGTATAATAAAAATCATGAAAGTTTCTTTTTACAATATGGTCATCAAAGTCGTAAATTTGACCTTCATATTTTAATCGCCTGTACGTCTTTCGGGGAGAAGTGAACAATACACAGTTTTAGAAGTGAAGTTGGAATGTTTCAGAAGACGATTTGTTTTCTTCCGCAGTGATACGTTTCACGGTTCTTACACTGACGCCACAGGCTTTTGCAGTTTTTGTTTGTATTTTGTATTTGTCTAAAAAATTTTGCTATCAACGAATGGTTAAATAGAGAAAATGAAAATATATAGACACGATCCTAAGTTATTTTTCAGACGATGTAACGGTTGAACAATGGCTACAAACTTATGAATAATGTCTTAAACTAAATCCAAGTTGACGCTCCAATCGGGTTTTAACTTCTCCAGATGCTCATTAACATCAAGCCATCTTCGCTTTGGACGTCTCCTTAATATTTTTCAATTTTACCATAGCCATCTTTATAAAAGAACCATCAGCTCCCCATGCATGACCAGCCCATGAGAATCTCGAATTCCTTACGAATTGCACTATATTCTTTTTTGTGTACAGATCCTTCAGTTCTTAATTTGATCTCCTTAACCATCTTTACTTATTGTCGTCGAAATTAGAGCTATATATTTTCCTTAAAATTTTCCTCTCAATGATGAGAAGTTTATTGTAATCCTCTCTTGTTGTGGTCCATGTGTTGCATCCATAAATATCAATTAGTTTTAAATTAATTGTGAAAAAATTTTCTTTGATCTTTCTAGAGTGTAACTTAGACTTGAACATTGAAATTATAGCGAAGTACACTTTGTTAGTAGAATTTTGGCATAGTTTAATTTCCTCGTGGATAAAATTAATATTGTTTACATTAACACCTAGATAGTTAAAAGAACTAACTTTTTGAAATGTAAGATCGTCAACTTCCAAGTCTTTCATGTCCTCTTCGATTTTTGTTCTTTTCAACAGAAACATGTATTTGTTTTTATCTTGATTAATTGAGAGTCCCATTCGCTTATTTGCATTCATTAGACCAAAAAGTATCTAAATTAAATTTTGTCTAGTATCTTCAGGGAGAACCAAGTCATCTGCGTAAGCTAGACAGGTGTACCCATAATTTACTTCTATTCTTGATCCTTTAGGTAGACTCCTTATGATTTCTTGTAAAGCAAGTTTGAATAATATTGGTGTGACGGTGTCTTCTTGTCTATTTTAACTAGAAAAGGCTCTGAAATATTTTTCATTATCGGAACAACAATTTGGATAGTATTATTAGACATTTTAATTAATCTTCGAGTTTTCTAGGAATTCTATAATTCTTTAATGCAATCCATAATAATTATCGTAAGCTTGTTTAAAGTCCATGAATACTAAGTGAATATCTTTGTTATATTCATGATGTTTCTCTAAGATTTATCTTATAGCAAATACATGATGAGTTGTAGACTTCCCCTTCCTAAAATCACACTGGTAGCTGTAAATTATTTCATCCGTATACAGTATACATTTATTAAATATTAATGTATCACCTAAATCAAATTTCTCATCATGTATAACTGAATTAAATAATGTAATAATATAATTGAAATAACATCCAAACTTTGACATTTTCATAAATGGATACACCTCTGGAGTGATAATTATTTCCATGAAGTAGTTTTATCCTGCTAAATGGACAACTAAATATTTAGTTACCTATCAGTTTATCAATTAGATTTGTATGCTAGTATTTTCATGCTGTAAAGTAGAGGAGTTCGCTCATACTATTGATCATTTAAACTCTCACATACACGATGTTTGTATTGGACTGCCAATCATTTGCTCCCTTAATAAATGACCATTTTAATAGGCGAATTTATCTGCTCTGGGTTTATTCACCGGAAAACACCAGAACAGGGTAACAAATAATTGCAAAACTATTGTATCTGGTTTGTTATTAATCTTCAGATCAGTTAAGGGTCCTGATTGA